CGCCGGACGGCCCCCGGTTCGCAGAGTGGTCCGGGAGGCCGGGCGTGGCGGGCACGCCTGTGACCCCAGCCCCCGCAGGCTGCGGCGGAGCGTGGCGGTTGGGGTCCGTCCCGGGCGCTGTGGCCGCTCGGCGGGGTTCTGTCTCGGCCTGTGGAAAGGGCCGGGGCTGCGCCCCAGTTTGAAGGCCCTGGGTTGGACCCCAGTACCCTTTTTTTCTTTCTCTTTTTTTTTTTCTTTTTTTTTTTTTTTTCGTTAAATGGTAGCGAGATTAAAGACTGCAGGACTTCTCAGCGCCTTTGGGGTTAAATTTTGAAGAGGGCGGTCCGAGTACTAACTGCCCGGTGAACGCCCATTTAGGAAAGTACTAAGCTGCGCTGCCCCACATCCACAGCCCCTTGCACGGCCCCCCCCTACTTGATTTTGGAACTGAAACTCACTTTTAGAACTAGGCATGCCTATGTTTTCTAGATCGTGACTCTCCGGTTTGCACATGAGAAGCCCCGAGGGAGGTTTTTGTTTTCCCTCCGATTGCTGATCCCCAGGCTTCACCTCCAAAGATTGCAGTTCGGTTGGTCTGCGCCCAGGCATCTGTTAACATTCCCTAGCTGGGGCCGGGCCTGTTGGCGCACCCCTGTAATCCCAGCGCTCGAGAGGCTGAGGCAGGAGGAACGTTGCGAGTTCGGGACCAACCTGGGCTACAAAGTGAGCTCAAGGCCAGCCTGAACTGCATATCAAGACCCTGTCTCAAAAAGACAGAAAAAAAAAAGCATTCCCTAGCTAAATCATATTCAACCAAGGTTGAAAAGGACAGTTCTAGATTAAAAGTCAGACTCTTACACTTTAGCTGTACCCATTTCTGGCCTTTTTTTGGGGATGACATGTTTTCTGTCCTGTAGCTTTGCAGTGTTAATAGTTAAAGGTAGCTGCCAATAAACTGAAAGCAGTTGAGCGCGAAGCCAGGCGTGGTGGCGCACGCCGGTAGCCTGTAATCCCGGCACTCCAGCACTCTGAAGGCTGAGGCAGGAGGATCGTTGCGAGTTCGAGGCCAGCCTGGGCTACAAAGTGAGCTCAAGACCAGCCTGAACCTACATAGGGAGACCCTGTCTCAAAAAAGAAACACTTGAGCCCGGTGTGGTGACCCACGCCTGTAATCCCAACATTGGGGAAGCTGGGACAGGAGGATTGCCATGAGTTCAAGGCCAGCCGAAACTGCACAGTGAAACCCTATGCCAAAAAAGACCAAAAAAACTTTTAAACACTTGAATTTTGGTACAGTCTTCAGCGTGATGATAGAGGCCTTTTTATTCATTGCTCATGTGGGTCTTGCCTCGTGTGGAAATGAAGTGGCCATTATTCTGATTTGCTTATTCGACTTACTGTCCTTTGTAGATCCTCGGGATTTGAAGATGGCTGCCCAGTCAGCGCCGAAAGTTGTGCTAAAAAGCACCACCAAGATGTCTCTAAATGAGCGGTGAGGCAGCCAACAGCAACTTCAGCTCCTTCCTAAGAAAAGATTACTTAAATTGGCCCTGGGGTCCAATGCACAAAAACCAGTTGTAAGCTAAATAGCAACAGAAGGCTACAGACCTCTGTTATTAGTTGCATCTCATGTGGTACACAAAACAAATTGGGCAGTTGTTTCAAAACCCCTTATCAGTAGATTTTTATGTTAAGCTGTCTGAAGTGTTTGTCTGGTGGGATGTATTTTAAAAGGACTCCTCACACCCTCCCTTTTCTTCAGTTTTTTTTTTACATTGATACAGGGGTGGTGCAGCATGGTAGCGTGGTATACCCCAGCTGCAGTAGGCTTGCTGCCCAGTCCAAGGCCAGCAGTGTTGTGTCTGGCCTGTAAGAGGCAGGTAGCAAGCCGTGAATATGTCCAAAGGCCCTTGAATGACATTCCTGGGCCTTGTAAGAGGCACTTGCTTTGCTCCATTTCACTTTCTTTCCAGTTCTGCTTTTTAGTTTGTTTTTGTTTTATATTCTTTTAACAGTTAAATGTTCTTTCACTCTTTCACTCCACTAAACTTAACTGTGACGGGAATAGTAGAGGGACATCCTCCTAAGTCTCTTAATTACTGAACTAATCTAACTCTCAGAATTACTCTCTCGGAGTCAGAAAAGAATGATTTCTTGGGACTTCAAAAAATTAAGGTATTTAAAAATAGTTTCTAACTTTGAGGGCTTTGTTCATTCAGTGCCTTTGGCCAGTAGTTTTATCAAGCTGTAGTTAGTGCTTTAAGAGATGTAATGTCTATTTTTGCTTCTTCTGAAGTATATGTACTTCTCTCTATCTCTTAAGAATTATTACTCTAGTTATATTCATTTACTGACATTTTAAAATGTGATGCACTCCTGTATTTATGTGGGTGTATTATTTCACAGGCTTTGATGGTGCTCTCGACCTTTCTCATATTTGCCCTCAAAGTGAACTCTGAGTCCCCCAAGGTTTAGGCTTTCTTCATTTGTCTTTGAAACTGCATCTTCTGTTTCTTGTCATCATATCTGCTTATTGCGTGTTTTTCATACTTTCCACCTGTCTGAGAGCTGTTACCTGAGCCCTTGTTATCACTTTCGATTGAATGTGCTGCCCTTAGCTGCATTTCTAAGTTTCTGACTCTTGCAAGTTTGTGGAAAAAGAGGAGTCTAACCCACATCAGCCATGATCTAAATGTACCACTTTACTTAAAGTTCATGGGATCTGAAGCTCCTGGTCTAGCAAGCCATGAAAATGCCCATAAATGTTTTGTAATAAAGCTCTTGTTTAAACATCCATTTTGTTCGACCTTGAAGCTTTACTAATATGCTGAAGAACAAACAGCCGATGCCAGTGAATATTCGGGCTTCGATGCAGCAACAACAGCAGCTAGCCAGTGCCAGAAACAGAAGACTGGCCCAGCAGATGGAGAATAGACCCTCTGTCCAGGCAGCATTAAAACTTAAGCAGGTGAGAGAACGAGTCTTAATAGTCCTGAAGCAGTTGTGAGCTGTGTCAATCCACTGAGGCTGTCAGGATGAGATGGATGATTACAAGGCGGCTCAGGGCAAAAGCTAAAATTGCTCTGAATTCCAATTTTGGCAGGTACTTACAAGTAATTTTTTATTGTCTTTCTCTTTTAGGGAGTTTACCATCTTTGTGGCCTGTTTGTGTTAGCAGTGAGGATTAATTTCTTTTTTTCATTCTTTACCCTTAAAGGAGATTTATAGGTTTTTTTACAAAAGGACTTTGCTTTGGGCCAGGGAGTGTAGCTTGCCTAGCATGTACAAGGCCCTGGGTTCCATCCCTAGTACTGGGGGGGGGGCGGGGGAAACACTTTCTGTTTTAGATTAAACGTTCAAAGCATCTTTTACTCTGTGTTAAATTATTTACAAATTAGAATTTTATTCTTCCTGCGTCAGGGAGCCATGAATGGCCTTAGTCAGGTTTTTCAGTGCTTAAATATAAAGAGAGACACTCAATTCCACAGCATTTGAAGTATTATAAAGCAAGAGTACAGAATGATTGTTAGTGTGTTCTCTTTCAAATTTCCAGTAAGAAATCATTCTATTCAGACCTGAATAAAACCTGCTCTTTATTATTCATAGACTTTATATGCAAGTCCGGACAGTGCCTGTGGAAGGATATGTCCAAGCTGTGGCTGGGCGTCTGAAGGGCGGTGCCATGCAACTGTAAGGACTTTAACTGGTAGCACTGCATGGCTGTGCATAAATTCAGCAGTTAAATATAACACCCTCCCACCCCCACTCTGAACCATTGGGCTCACTGACCAAAAATAAACAAGGCTTTCAGCTTCAGCTGCTTTAAGCCTTGGAGTGATTAGATTCATCCCTGACTCAGGAAATTGGCAAACAAAACACCAATAAAAATTACTAAAATCTTGACATATTCCAAAGGATCTTTTAACAAAGAGCTTGAAGTGGCTGTGTAGAAAGCAGCATCTAGGGCAGTACTGTGCAACAGTTTCTACAGTGATGGAAATGTTTTATGTGCTGTCCAGCATAGTAGCCACTAGCTACATGTGGCTGTTGAGAACTTCGTGTGGCCAGTGCAATTGAGCTTAATTTTTAAAATTTTTAATTTACTTCTGATGTAAATAGCCACGTGTGGCTGATGACTACCTGTACAGCACAGCCCGAAAGTGGAAACTGGTTCGTATAGTTTATATCCTTCAGTATCCTCAATTTGGAAAGTAGGATTAGTGCAGTGGAGATGGAGTGGGAGAACTCAGCACTGTACAGTTCTTCCCCAAAGTGTAGGGCTAAGAGAAATGAATATACTCAGGATAACTGAGTATGGGAGACTTCTAGAATGCCCTGCCTCATAGTCGTGTGCTGGGGGCTGGTGGCTCAGTGAGAGAGCACTTAGCCTAGCATGCATGAGGTTGTGGATTCTAGTCACAGCGCTGAAAGGGGAAAAAAGTAGTAATTGTGTGCTAATCAGAAGAGTAACTGGGCAGGTTTTTATGGTTAGTTTTACCTGCCTGTGTTAGATGCATAATGTTCAGAATTTTTCCTCTCTGATTAGTAAGTAGCAGTTTGTGATCTTGAGTTAGCGAATGATAGTGCTACACAGCATCTTTCTGAGAGCTATCATAAGTAGTTAGTCACTTGTGGGTGGAGCCTGAGGACACAGAATTTATATTCATTCATACTGATAGCTTTATATAAAAGTAAGCTTGCCTAGGGCCTTAGTTGTGTTCAAGGCTGTACTATCCCCTTTTCCTTTGAAGAAATTTGTCTGAGATATTAGAGATTTCTCTGAGGACTAGATTATCAGAAATGTATTACGGCCTTGTCCTCATATGTGGCCCTTTTTTATAGTTTACCTGTCTTAATTCTAACAAGTTTGGCTGGCTGGCTGTGGAAGAATGAGTTACAGGCTCATTTTTAATTAAAGGTCATTATACTGGTTTAAGGGAGCTGTTTGCAAAAGTAGACATGGTAGAATTAGAGACTTTTAAGAATTATAAGGAAAGGAAGTTTTGACTTTTTTATTTGCATCTTAAGGTAAAAAATGGACCGTCTGGAGATAGATACTCAAAGGAAAAATGGAGACACTGGCTTCTTTGACTGAAAAATCAATTTTTTTCTTAATCACGAGAATTCAAATGAACTTGTACTTTAAACTTTGCCCAATGTGATGAACTTCTTATGGTGTTTGAGTAAGCCTTTGAAGACAGTGGTAGTCCTTGGGCAGGTATGAATTCGGTCATGTCTTTGTCAACCTGTGGTTCAAAAACAGTGTGTGTACTAAAACGTAAGTTCCAGCTTGCTGTATATGACTTCTGTATCCAAATAATTGAGGTGATTGTGGTTCTATCAAGTCCATGGAAACTTACTGAAGCTTAAAGTTTCTGCTCTGGATTAGAATTCTACTTCTTTTAAGTCAAAGAAAGACTTCTGGTTTGGGATCCTTATGATACCCACTGCAGGTTTATTTCCCAACATACCAGGTATCTCACTTGCTTTTTTCTCTCCGCACTTGGAATTGCCAAATCTCACTGAATTGCTTTTTTGATCTCAATCCTCCAACACCTTTTCTTCCAGAAGAGCTTAAAGCAGCGCCTGGGTAAGAGTAACATCCAGGCACGGTTAGGCCGACCCATAGGGGCCCTGGCCAGGGGAGCCATTGGAGGACGAGGCCTGCCCATAGTCCAGAGAGGCTTGCCCAGAGGAGGACTGCGTGGGGCACGCGCCACCAGAACCCTTCTTAGGGGCGGGATGTCGCTCCGAGGTCAGTGCTGTATGTCCCTGATAACTGTTGGGCCCTATCCCCTTCCCTCTCCTCCTGGGCTGCTTATGGACACATTCGTTTAACATCTTTAATTCTGAATTTAATATAGTTAATAACTTGGAATCACATACTTTAGTAGTGCTGCATGTCTTTTATCAATACCATTCCGTTTCTGATAATGTGCCATAGTTGAGAGGTTATGACCTGGGTAACAACAGCTAATTCATGTCATCTCCATTCCATTTTAAACACCCTGCTGCTGCTTGAATCAAAGCACATTCAAGTCTAGAAATAAGCCTAAGAAATATGTGGTTAGTATGCATAAGGCCCTAAGTTCAATCCACAGCACCAACAGAAATTTATGGATCTTTTGGCATGTATTATAACTGGTGCTAGTGAAACACTGTTAATATCTGGAAGAAAGGGCGAGTTGACCTATAACACTCACCTGTATCTATATTTTGGGCACTGTTAAAACTGTTTCCTGTGTAGCTCTTTATCCCCTATAAGAACGTACTGAGAGGAGGAACCATAGCATTTATTTAAGCGTACCATAATACCAGGCATCTAATTATTCAGTAGTTATTTGTTAAATGAATGTACTTAACTCCCAGCTTCTTCCATAGATGAATTTCTGGTGAGAAGCGTTGAATTGATTTGAATGAAGAGCAGCTTAATCTGTTCACACTCAGTGTGCAGCTTGCCCCATCCAACCTAAAAATTAATCGAATTACTCCATTTAACCCTCACTGCCTTCCTTTGGTTAGAATCTATTTTGTCTCTCTTGGATTTACCTGCATATACATTGTATGCCTCCTCTCCAAGGTCAAAACCTGCTTCGAGGTGGACGAGCCGTAGCTCCCCGAATGGGCTTAAGAAGAGGTGGTGTTCGAGGTCGTGGAGGTCCTGGGAGAGGGGGCCTAGGGCGTGGAGCTATGGGTCGTGGCGGAATCGGTGGTAGAGGTTAGTCAGCTACCAACTTCAGAGAGTAGCTCCCCCTTATTTCCCTCCCTTAAAAACTCAGAGCCACCTTTCTGCACAGCTTTAAGTCATAGGCAGGCTTGTTTGTTTGTCTTGTTTTGTTTTGAAACTGGCTTATTTTCTAACTTCACATGCTGGTAGTAGGAAAGACATCATAGTTTTTTTAAAAATCAGGTACATGTTACAGAGCCATATTTTTACCAGTCTTCTTCTTTAATTTGTTAAAGTGACAAAATAGTGGGTTAGGGATTTTGCCTTTTTCTATCTCTGCCCGCACCCACCACCACACACCACCCCATGGTAAATCTTTCTTTAAGTAAGATAAGAATAGTGAAGAGTCTGGGAATGCAGCTTAAGGGTAGAGTTCTTGCCTGGCATGCTCAAGGCCCTTTGGTCCCCAGCACCACAAAAAAAGATAGAAAAGAGAAAGATGAACCAGAATTAAAGAGGGCAGTCTGAAGCTCAGCAGTAGAGCACGTGCTTAGCATGCGGTAGGCCCTGGGTTCAGTCACAGCACCAGGGCAGGTGCAGGGAGGGTGAGAATTGGAATTGGGCATGGGCTCTGAAACCAAGTGAATTCAACATATAACGTATGCCTGTGGGGAACCAGAGGCGGTTTTTCTCATCAAGGTAGAAAGTAACACAGTATTACTGTCAGTTAAACAACGGGCTCTTGTTAATAATCTTCCCTTTGACACCTTGATAATTTGTCTTTTGACATCATGACCCAAATTGGAAGAGTTCAGTGCTGGATTGTTTAGTGCCAAATCTCATAAGTGCTTTAAGAGTTGAGTGAGAAACTCCCAACACCACCTGTTAAAGGGGAATAAATCTATTAGATAGCCCCTGTGTATATCTGCTCTGGTCCTTTTAAATTGTGAGTGTTAATAATTTACAATAATTTACAGTCTTGAAGTTGGCCAAGGAGTACTGTTAGGAAACAACATTTAATAACCAAGGATCAGCTGGGCATGGCGGCACATGCCTGTAATCACAGCACTTGGGAGACTGAGGCAGGAGGATCACCTTGAGATCAAGGCCAGCCTGAACTACATAGTAAGACTGTCTCCAAAAAAACCCAAGGACTTAACTTTCTTATCTCCCATTAAATACTACTTGGCTTATTGAGTGGAGTGTAAGCTAGTTTAGGTTAGTGTAAGCTAGTTTAGGTTTCAGGATGAAATAGTCTGTTTCCAAATTATCTTGACTCAGTTTCTGAGAGACATCACAGGGTTGAGAAAGACTAAAGGAGCTTTTCAGAAAGCTGGATGTATTTTGTTGAGTGAACTGAAACTGCTTCTCAGATAACCACAATGTCCTAAGGTGACTAGACTCTGAAGTGGCTGGGACAACTAAGAATGCTTTTTCCCCATCTCCCTACATTGTTTCTGTATCAGAATAACCTCAGTGTTCTGACACATGGAGTCACCTGCTAGACTTAATAAATTTAAGGAGAAATTAGATAACTTACCAGAGCTTCCACTAAAGCTTGCTTTGAAAACTGCCTTTACGCCCCTGATTCTCTGTGCCCTTTTAACTGCCTCCCTATCTTACTAAATGGGTTGTCTACAATATATTTTCATTGTGAATTCATAGGGGGTCTCAAACTCTAGGGAGAGATTTTTTTAAATTATATCTATCAGCAGATTATTTTCTGTTGATAAATAGCATTTCGAGATGAGCATGTAATGAGGGATTCATTATGTGTGCTTTCCATGTGTTGCTTTCTGCCCAGTGTGTTTCTCGTTTTTCCAGATCTCTCCTCTTTACCCTCCCCTAAAGCTTTTCTCAGCTAGGCCCCACTGCTGTAAGGGGCATTTCTTACAACACCCATTAAACCTACTTGTAACTTTTTTTTTTTTTCCCTCCCCCTTGGGCCAGGTCGGGGTATGATAGGTCGGGGAAGAGGGGGCTTTGGAGGACGAGGACGAGGACGTGGACGGGGAAGAGGCGCCCTTACTCGCCCTGTATTGACCAAGGAGCAGCTGGACAACCAATTGGATGCCTACATGTCGAAAACTAAAGGACACCTGGATGCTGAGTTGGATGCCTACATGGCACAGACAGATCCTGAAACCAATGATTGAAGCCTGCCTGCCTACCCTTCTGTGAGAGACTCTTGTTAAAGTTACTACATCTGTAAATAGCCTTGGGATGACAGAGAAGAAACCTGGTTGATAGTAGAAGGACCTATCATAACAGGCTGTGGAGTTACCTGCCACCAGTTTGTGCATTTTGTGTGTTCCTTTTACTTTTGATACTGTGTTGTATGAAAACTTTTTCCTTTGATTTGGTTGGATGTTTTTTGTTGTTTTTTCCCTTCATCGAGACTTCTCTTGGAACATGAATGTATTGGCCTTGTGGGTAGAACACTTACCCTACCTCTGCCTTCTGTCGCCTGCCATACACTGATATTCTAATGTATCCTGTGTTTGTCTCTATGCCCCCACCAAAAGGTCCCAGAAAGAGCCAGTGTTCCTACCGAATGCCTTGGTTTCTGAGTTGGAATTCTGTTGTATGTCCTCTTTACTTGGCTCTTAGTGTTAGGAAGATGTGGGGCTCAAAAGTGCATTCAGCTATGTTGATAATGCTACAGGGCCACATTACAGGTAATACCTTCAGTTGCTTTGGAATGACTACCGTGTTTATTGACACCACATAGATGATAACAGTGTGATGAGTTGAATATGTGTACTTCTACCCCCAAGTGAGATATTAAAGCTTTCCCCTGGGCCTTGTATGTCCAAAGAGGTTGAGTTGGCTTCTACCTAGACCATAGGGGAGGAAGCCAGCGGTTTGGTAGATGCAGCAGAAGGAAAAAGGAATGGGAGAGCAGTGGGTTACAAACTAACTGCTGAAGGATGGAGGGTTCAAGAGCTATTGAATGTTGAAATCCATTATTCTCATGTTTGTTTGGGCTTCTCTACTTAATGGCTTTATTTGACCCTCTTTCCCTTAAAGGTTTAAGTTCAACCATAATCTGTCAGTTATTGGAGTTTCAGTGGAATCTTGTATTTCTGGTTCATGACAATAAATTGTTCTCTCGAATCCATCCAGGATGTTCTCTTTATTTGCTGGGTTCCTTGAAATGGTGTAGCTACTTTAATGATATCTTACTGTACCCCTGTATAGGTAAGAGTCCTTCAAGGTTTTGTTAAGATTCTGAGGGAAGTGTGGTTTGGGGGTACAAAATGACAATTTTAACCTCCTTTTTTGTTTTGTTTTGTTTTTTGTCTTTTTGAGGCAGGGTCTCGCTCTGCAGTTCAGGCTGGTCTTGAGCTCACTTTGTAGCTCTGGCTGGCCTTGAACTCGCAGCGATCCCCCTGCCTCAGCCTCTCAAGTGCTGGGATTATAGGTGTGTGCCACCACACCTGGTTTAACTTCCTTTGATGAAAGCCTACCAAAAGGTTCTTCCTCTACCCAGTAATAGACCCTTTCTGATCAATGAAAAACTAAAGATGGCCCTTGGACCTCGGCAGTGCTTTTCCTTGCAGTGTTTAAGGGAGAAAAACCTGATCACCCTAGCCAAGTCAGTTGCATTGGCTTACTTGGCACCCTAAACTTAGGTGATCTGCATTGGGAGCCCAGAAGGAAATTTTGATGTGACAACCTGAACTTCAGTCTTTACCCGTTCATTGGTTATTGTGCTGAGGAGCAAACTGTGGGCCACCCTCACACCAAGAAAGTGTTCTACTACTGAGCTACATTCCCAATCCTGAATCCTTAGCTGTTTGAGATGGGATATCTGAGGGGAAACACCAGGGTTGGCTGAAGACTAGGTATTGGACAATGGCTCAGCAGAGCTAAATCCCCCAGCTCAGCACTTTTGTCAGTGCTGAAACACAAGGACTCACCTCACAGCTCATCTTCCAGCACAACTCCAGCAAGAGTATAATGCTGGGGACCTCCACTTGGGGGAGGCTATGCTCAGGAGAAAGTCCCAGCAGAGGAGGGGAGCCCCCTCTTCCTACCTCCTCTGCATTCTACATCGTAAAAGAATTCATCCTTACACGAGGCTAGGGATATAACTTGGTAGAGCACTTGCCTAGCACATGCAAGGCCTTGGGCTCCACCCCAGTATCACTCAAAAAAAAGGCACAAGGAATTGAATTCAGCCAGCTGTGGGCTCTCCAGCCCCTGCTACTTACATGTTTTCAAGGTCTCTGAGGTCTGTTCCCTCTTCTGCCATCCTCAGTAGATAGTAAATTTCCCAGGCAAATTGGTACAAAGTGTAAATTTGACTCTTCGGTCAACCTTTCACCAATTGAGCTGCCATCTGCCGAGGGCTTGCTATAAGCCCTAACCCCATAAGACATCACCATTTCATAGAAGGGTACTCGGAGCACGGAAGAGGTTGAGCTGGATCTTGAAAGTCAGACAGTTGGGAGACAGGAAAACTCCAAGCAAAAAGAATAGGTATACAGGTACCATGACCAAAAAGGCAATGTGTGCCACGAAAATGTATAGTGCTTCCCAAGAGGGGACATAAGTCAAGACTGTAGAGATGTTCTGGAGCCTGTTTGTTGGTAAAGATAGTAGACTTCATGCTTTGGGCAATGGGGAGACGAAGTTTTTTGATTCTTTTTTCTTTTTTTTTTTTTTTTTTTGAGACAAATGTTTTAGCAGAGTATATATCTAATGATTTACACAATCCTAGTGAGAGATGATGGCTTACAGAGATAAGGTCCCAGCTCCCACTCCTTTTACCCTCTTAAGCTCCCTGGGGCCTCGTTAGGCAGTGCTGATTAATACTCATCTCCCAGCAACGAGCAGTACCAGACCAGCTCAAAGTGGGGCAAACAAAGGAGGCATGGGACCTGAGGAAAGGAACCCATGGATGGTAGCAGCCAGCGCCAGCTGTGGGCTTCATCATGTTTGGCAGGCCACCAGGCCTGAGAGGCAGCCCAAAAGACCTTTGTAAGGGGTTGACTTTATTCTCCATTTAAACTTGATTTGTTCATATCAATTTACTTACACTTTTAGGCAATTACCTACCCAAGACAAATATCCATGGGCAGCTGGGCAAGATGGTGCATGCCTGTAATCTCAGCACTTGGGAGGCTGAGGCAGGAGGATGGTTGCAAGTTCAAGGTCAGCCTAGGCTACAAAGTGAGCTCAAGGCCAGCCTGAATTTCATAGTGAGACCATTCTCACACAGACAAAATACAAAGATAGATAGATAGATAGATAGATAGATAGATAGATAGATAGATCGATCGATCCATGGGCAGGGATCGGAGACAGAAAAAACTGAAGTCTTAGCTGAAAGGGGTTCCTCCAGAATGACCAAAAGCCATCCCCCTTGGATTTTAACTAAAGCATATCCAAGGGCTAGTTTCTGGGGGAAAGCCAGGGCTACAACAGAAGGAAATGATGAAAGGTAGATGACAGAAGTGAGCAAAAAGCCCCCTAGATCCCCCCATAGCATTGCCAAGTCCAGATCCCCCCCAACAGTCTGACCCATTTGTAATAAGCAGGAATCATGGTGTCTATTCCTTGGAGGTACAGGATGGCAGGAGGTTAGGACAGGCTCCTGACTGCCTGTCCTAAGCTTTCCCAGCATCATGTCCATCACACTCCACTGATTTCCAGTTTTTTCACTGAAACTAGGGCTCCCCAAACAGGCTGGCCTCTAGTGGACTGGGCATATCCCTGTCCCTGTCCTCAGATGACAGATGCCCAAAGAAGTCTGGCTTGGACCCTCTTCCCAGGGAGAGCCATGACTGAGCACTGTTCTATGACCCGTCTCACACAAAGGCACTTTGCCGACTCTGGTTACCCACTTCACTCATCCTCCATGGTGGGTACAAGTGCATGTGGCCTGCAAGCAGAGGTCACCATATGACTGCTTCCGGAGCCAACCCTTGTGTGCCTGCAAAGCTCCCTCTTGGACATACCCCAGACCCATCTCACAGCAGCCAGCAAGGAGAGAGCATGTCAGCCTAAGCCTCATCCAGGAGGTGGGGGAAATGAAGTTGGAAAAGGAGGCCTCAGAAGTAGGGCAAAGCCAGAGCTTCCAGAAGATGGGAATACCCTAAAAGCTGTACTAGGAAGGCCTATGCACTGAAATCCTGATAGCACCCCAAGAGAGCCCTGCTCTTGGGATTCTGGTGTGATGAGGTTGGCAGTGTGAGAAGAGAAAGGCAAGCAGTGGTGGCAGATGGTCCCATGTAGCTCATCAGACGAGTGCAGGAAGTGAGTAATGCTACCGTGAACGCTTTCCTCACGGAGACATGAGGAACATGTTCCAACTGCAGGTGGCCTGATAGAGGATCTTAACAAGGGATTCTTGAAGTCGGGAAAAGGGTTTTGAGGGGCAGCTGAGGCCCACCTGGAGTGTAAGTGAAAGTCACCTAAATTCCTTCCCCTCTGCGACCAAGGACTAGCAGAGGCTGCTGGCCATGTGATGATTGGCAAGCAGTACCTATCCTCTGCCTCCACTTTCTGAATGGCTGGCAGATCATCAGATCATCACCCACATCGCAGCTGCCTACAGCAGGCACCGCTGCCGATGCTGGCCAGGGCTGAGTGCCACGTTCGAACGCAGTTCTCATCCTCAGCCCCAGCTGTGCTGGCTGCGGGAAGGCAAGTCAGGCACCCACAGTGCATCAGTCTGCTGACAACACAACACATTTGAGAAGTGAACATATTTGTAAGCTGCAAATGCCCTAAACCAGAGCACTGTGGGGCAACTGGAACCTAAGAAACACCATCCAGAGGTCACCTACAGAAGGTGGTTTGTGAGATATGGGAGGATCATGGTCTCTGAATTTTCCTGTACAACTGTCCAGTAATTCTGCCCCTTCCTGTCCTCTCCTCCCTTCCCCATATCTTAGCTGCCCTCTCCCCTTTTTACATTTGATACAATTCCACCTAAGAAAATCACTTGGGCCAGGCGTGGTGGCGCACGCCTGTAACCCCAGCACTTGGGAGGCTGAGGCAGGAGGATCATTGAGAGTTCAAGACCGGCCTGGGTTACAAAGTGAGCTCTAGGCCAGCCTGAACTGCACAGCGAGACCCTGTCTTAAAAAGACGAAAAAAAAAACAAAAAAGACAACCAATCACTTGGAACTAAAAATGGGAAGTTTAGAAAACAAGACTTGTTAAGGATCAGGCCTGGGAAGTGGGGACACCAGCATTTCCCTGTGACATACACCCATGTGAATAAAATAATCTTTTAGATCTAGAGCTTTCTGCAGGAGCAGAGTCGTAAACTTTCCAGCCATAGGACAACCAGAAAGAAAGCCACACAGCTCTAAACTAATTCTTGTGTGCTCCAGGCAATGATTCTGGACCCTTTAAATATTTTCCCTTTGCCAGCTGGCTGTAGAGGACACTGGAGAAGCATTTCAGGAGGAACTGTTGTTTTCTGGTTCTAATGGGTTCCACAGAACTTGGCTTCACCAGGCCTGAGGTCCTGGGAGCAGAGCAGCCAGTGATACCCAAAAACCAACAGCCTCCCCTCAGCCCATTCCACAGCAGAATGCCTCAGTGGGCTGGCACCCATAGACAGCCTCCCCCAGAACACAGGAGAATTCCAACAAGTTCTGGAAGGCAGATGTTCTGCACATCCCACCAGCACGGTATCAGAGCAACTTCGCAGCCTTCAGTAGGCCACACCTGTACGCTGTCCAACAGTACCTGCATCCCAGGCCTGGGCACAGCCCTTCCCTACGTGCTTGCAGGGGCTGCTCTGAACACCTGTGCTTCCCCCGCTCCTCATTATTCCAATCTTCTTTTTTTTTTTTTTTTTTT